CAATGAGAAAGATAGTGAGCCACAGAAAAACTAGAGTATTGAGAAAGTAAATTTCAAAGGCAATGGCATAGTAAACCTTGGAATACTAAGTACACCAAATGGCATGCCAAAGTTAAGGCCAAATATATTACTCATTATGATAAATGTGAATGGATTAAATTCTCAAGACACAAGACTAATATTCTAAGACTAGGTTAAAGAAAGGTTAAAACTAAAGTAAAGAACAAAGCTATCCCAGACAAATGCAAATGGGGAGAAAGAAAAGAAAAGGTCACCGTTTCAACACTAGGAAAAGTAGAATTAAATTTAAAAAGCATACAAGTACATTGAGAAATCTGTCTTTTATTGATAAAACAATGTTTAGGAATTAAACAACACATAAGTTGTTGGAGCATAAGAGAAAGTTAGAAAAGTCATAACCATTAGGAAAGACTTTAATACAACTCTCCTAACGAAGATAATTTAAAAAAGGGAGGAGAACAAGGAAAGAGACTAATCTATTAGTGTTATCAGTTTGCCACATTAATTAATACTACAGTGAAAATAGTTCTCTCTTTTCAAATATTTATAGATAATTAACAAAATTTAACAAAATTTTTTAATTCACAAGAGGATCTTACTGCATTCATCAAAACAAAGAGACATCAATCTTATTTTCTTGTTTTTTAGAAAAAATTATAAGACCATACATTAGCATAAGGTTGTGACTAGGAAAGCAAACCTGTAAGCATCCAAGGCAATCCTGAAGTAACTGTGGGATCGAAGAGAAAAGATAGCACAGCTTTAATCTGTATTTAGAAAATAATGCAAGCAAAAAACTATTATCAAAATTATGGGGCCCACCAGATATGGTGGTGGATGCTTTTAATCCTAACAGTGCCCCTCACCCACCCAAGGGAGAGGCAGATGGGCCAGCCACAGTCTACATAACAAGTTTCAGGGATGCCAGAGCTACAGAATGAGATCCTTTCTCAAAAAACTGTTTTTAAATTAGGAAGCTGACCTACACCCAAAGAAAACATACTAGTTTAAAAAGTATTTATTATAAAATATTTATCTAATACTAATTGTAAAAATTGATATTGAATTTCCAAATGTGAAATTACAAAATTGAATTCAGTACATATTTAAAGAATTTTATGCTATAACTTTAGGAACAGCTATACATAGTAATTCTTAATAATAGGTCAAGGGAAATATATGCTTTACTAGATGCTTTATAATTTCTTTAAACAGGTCCTGCTTCAAGTTTATTTGAAAAGACTCTACAACTTGGCAGATCTACATGACCCCACCTGGATGGCATTGCCCTACATGTGGAATTGGGGTGGGGTGATGGGATGGGAGGGTGGTCAGGGTGCATTGAGGGGGCAGAGAGGGTAAGAGGGAGGGAGGGAGAGAGGGAAAGGGAACTGGGATCGACATGTAAAATAAAAAATAAATAAAATTTAAAAAAAAGAAAAGAAAGAAAAAAACTGTACAGGACTCCAACCATCTGCACACAGTTTTAGGGGTGGAGAATGGTCATTGCAGTCCATCTGTCTTCCTATTAGCAGAGAGGTCTTTACTATGTGGCCTTCACAAAGGTCTTGGGACCTCTGGGTATCAAGCTAGAGTTGGAGCTGGGACAAGAGCTGAAGCCTAAGGCTGAGTCAACATCATCAGCCTCCTTTTGCGCTTTGCCCTTTGATTGGCAGATTGAGTGACCTCCTGGATGGCTTCTGCATGTACATTTATTGCTTTTACATTGCTTGCCTGTTTCTTCTTTAGATCTTGTTATTCTTAAAAAACTCATGCCCTTCAGGAACATAGAGCTGATCTCCTTAGGAGACACATATCCTTGTGAGCCAAGGTTTCTTAATGGCATTTCCATGCCATTTTTGTGTCCTTGAATCTCTGTTGGCCTTGTCTGCATGGTGATGATACTTTACCTCTGTACAATTTTGAGAGGGAAACATTCAACAGATGTCACTATAAGGAACCTCTAAACAGAATTATAAATAAAACTTCTAGCGGGACCTAATCTGGCCCTAGATATTTTCTTCATACTTAAAAAAATTAAATTTAACTTAACATTAACATCATACACTGAGGAAATAGTAAATGAATTCTCATTAAAATTTATAAAAATAGAGTTGTCTACTTATATTTTGGTTGTGAGCATCCCCTTTAAAAGCTGAGTCTTCTTTCCAGGCCTTACCTACTTATTTCTATTACATGAAGTAATATTATTAAAATAATGGTATATCATTCTTATATATCAAAGCATTCAGAATATGTAAATACATAAACCAACCATAAAGTAGGATATGTTGTGGTATATCATTACTATATGTCAGAGCAAGAACATTCAGAAGATATAAATATATAAATCAACCATAAAGTAGGTTGTGGTAGTACAATCTGTAATATCTGTACTTGAGAAGCAGAGTCAGAAATCATAGCAAGCCTGATGTACATAGCAAGTTCCAGGTCAGCCAGAGTTATGTAGAGTGCCCTGTCTTTAAAAAAAATAGCTGTGTGTGTGTGTATGTGTGTGTGTGTGTGAGAGAGAGAGAGAGAGAGAAAGAGAGAGAGAGAGAGAGAGAGAGAGAGAGAGAGAGAGAGAGGAGAGAGGAGGAGAAATAACTTAGTGGATAAGAGCACTTGCTTATCTCCCAGAAGCTCAGTTCCCAGCACCTGCATGGTGGCTCCCAACTGGAGTTCAAGAGATCTAACCTCCTGAGGTACCAGGCACACACGAAGTACACAGAAACACATTCAGGTTGAACACCCACAAAAATTAAAAAGAAAGAAAGAAAGAAAGAAAGAAAGAAAGAAAAAGCTCACAAGAAAGAAGTACAAAAAGCACAACATTAGTTTGTTAAGATCAGTTTCTTTGATTTCACTCATCTGCTATTTGATAATAAAATTTTGAAAAGTCTTTCATTGTGTTGTTACATCTGTTTGACAGAAACAACTTAATGGGGAAAGGTGTCACCATGGTTAAGAGGTGTCTCTGGTATGATGAGAAGTCAGAGTTGACCCTCAGTTCATGGGGCATTGATATATATCAAAACATTTAGAATATATAAATATATAAACCAATCATAAAATAGGGTGCAGTGGTACAATCTGTAATCTCAGGACTTGAAAAGCAGAGTCAGAAATTACAGCAAGTTTGAGTCCAGTCGGATCTACATACACAGCAAGTTCCATGTCGGCCAGTGTTACGTAGAAAAATAACTAGAACTTGAGTTTGTGCTGTAACCTTCAACAGTTTGCAGCTAGGAATTCACTGCCACCAAGATGTTGGGGCTCAAGTTTAAAGATGAATGGTACAGATATGCAGGGCATTTGAAATCAGTGGAGAAAGCATCAATATTCAATAAACAACTCTGGACAAATAGATAACCAATTACAAAAAAAATTATATAAATTGAAGGGTAAAATGTACCAAATGTAACAAAGACAACACATATGGTATGCTAATATATAATAAAATGGTATTTCAAGTTCAGTGACAAAGGATGAAATATTGAATATATTGTTTGAGGACAACTCACTATTCATATGGAAGAAAACAAAATTAGAATCTTCACTCATGATATTAAAAAAAAGAAAAAAAGGAAAAATATAGATGGGGCAAATACTATATGTAAACAAATAAAATTAAAATCCTGTAGGAAAAATATAGGGTAAGAAAAGAGATTGGCAAGGCAAGGGGATAAGAAGTTATTTTTTAAAAAATCAAAAATATTTCTCTATATAAAGTAAAAATATTTGCTCTGGCAAAAGATACAATAAACCAATGATAAATTACAAACTTGGGTAAATTCTAGGGCTAAAGATGCTAAAGCCTTGATTTCTCTTGTATGTATATTAACTATCACAGAAGGACAAGAAAACGAAAATCAGAAGTGATAATCACTGGAAGTACATCCTTAAAAAAGTACTTGAAGAGTCAAGCTGACAAGAGTTTTTTAAGCCCAAGGAAAGAATTTCCATGTTCGGTTAAGTCCCAAACAGACATTCATTTTGTTTCCTTCCTATTATTGTCATGTGCTTTGGGATTAACAATGTTTTACAATCACCATGTGACAGTCAGCATCTGTGTCAACATTTTACCCGTTGCACAAGTGAGAACAGACTGTTGCTTCTGGAATCATATCTTGGAAACTGCAATTTCTCTCTCATTCAGTTAATTCTCAGAAGTAAAGAACACAATTATCAATTATTTTCTTAATTTTTGCATTGACACTGTCACACATGATCAAGGAGGTCCCCACAAAACAAGATTTAGTCCTTTTCCATAGCTGAAAAGGACTATGTGTACACACATAGTATTCTGTGTGTACAAAACAACAGTTGTTTTAACAAAGACAAGATTTCATTGTGTAGTTTAGGATAACCTGGATAAGCTCATGATATTCCGTGTTTAGAAAATTCTGGAGGATCAATTTCAGGAAACTTCTGTTGATTCCTTCTCTGGATACTTATAGATAATGCAGCATTAAACATGAGGGGTGAAAATTACCATTTGACACTTCATTTTCACTGGGAAAAGAATTATTTCCTGTCACTCTATGCCCCATAGATGAAACTAGAAAACATTTACAGGCAAAAGAAGAGAAACAGCACACAATTTCCCACATATGAATTACCTAAATATGCTGATTTCATAGAGAGTAGAATAGATATTATGAAAGTCTAGAGAAGGTGGAGGAGAGAGGTAGATCAGAAGGGATAGATCAAATAAAGAGTAAGTTCTGTGGTGACATTAAGCAGTCTGTTGGATGACTAGAGTTTCCTTCCAGTAATGTACATTTCAAGAAGACATTGAATGTTACCACTGCAAAATATGATGGTATTTGAGGAGATGTTTATACTAATTAACATGATTTGATCAATGTATAATGTATGCAAGTATCAACCCGTATCAGCACATCATGCAGTACTTCTCACATGTAAGAATAAATATAAATAACAAAAGATTCCAGCTTCAAAAATTGCACAGTTGTATATTTACCTGGTGGGGGAGATAACATGATCACAAAGGTAGTTTTCCCAGGGTGAGGCTTAGCTATTGTCCTCTGGATGCACTGGCCCTGTGATTTTCCCAAATATGGGAAACTTGACTGAATAATTTGTGGTAAGTGAGGGCCTACATTCATGCTCTTCCATGAGAAAAATAAAATTAAAAATTAAAAAGTTGCACTGTTGATTTATATAAAATCTGGGTGTCAATAAAAAAGAAATTCAGGCCAGTGAGATAGCTCAGTAGCTAAATTCCTTGCTGTACAAGACTGATGAGTTTGATCACTATAATCCACAAAGATGGGGCATTGAGTTCTCCATTCCACTACATTTTAATTTCTTTTATATATGTATGTATTTAGGAACCTTCTACATTAGTAGGTTTTGATATTGTTTCTCAAAAGGCATTCAGTTGTTACCCATCACTCTCCATGTTCCCTTCTCTTCCCTGCCCTCCTATCCTCCTCTTCATTTAATTTTCCTATTCTAGTTTCCCCTTAACCATTTATAATAATATATTCTCTTTCCATTTCCTTGGAATATCGGCCCCCACAACCTGGCCCTTATTAGCTATCTAACCACCCTGAACATCTTGTGTCTTAATGAGTTCCCTCAAAGATGGAAGGTTTTTAATTTTAGAGGAAAATGTTACACATCATAAATAATTTGGTTATGGGGTTATCTCAATTACCCTCACTCTCTGTTCTTTCCTGTTCTCCCTCCTTTTTGCCTTCTTTCTTTCCCATTTCTTCTGTTTTGCATGTTCTATTTTCTAGTGGAATCATCTCTCTCTCTCTCTCTCCCTCTCTCTCTCCCTCCCTCTCCCTCCCTCCCTCTCTCTCTCTCTCTCTCTCTCTCTCTCTCTCTCTCTCTCTCTCTCTCTCTCTCTCTCTCTCTCTCTCTCTCTCTCTCTCTCCTTCCGAGACTGCTGACTGCTGACTGTTGACTGTTTTTAAACGGTCTTTACATTCCTCAGGCTTAGCTTATGATTCTTCATAAAGGGTCCAGGATGAATGTAGCTTCTTTAGTCAACAGACGTAAAACCTATGGCCAACACAAGGCATCATAGTGGAACAGGGAGCCATCAGAATCTATGTGTGAAGTGAGTGAGCATAGGTTGAAAGGAAACCTTTGGCAAGAATCAAATCTCAGTTTTATGTGAGTTCTAATGGTTACTTGTCCCTCTATGATTTCTTCCCTTTCATATGGATTTCATTATTGTATGCCCTGCACCTTACTCAAGACTAGCAGCTTTGGTGGTTACTTGGGAGACTTGCCAGAGTATGACATATAAGGGATGTTAAATTCTATTCTGTCTGAGGTTAAAGCCTGAAGAAGATGAATGTGTCCTGGAAAAGATATCAGTGTTAATATAATGCTAATCTCATCCCATATCACCTTAAAGTTTAATCAAATTTATAAACATCCCATAGTGCAATCAAATTAACCACTGCAGTTGCATAGTCTGTCACAGTTCAAGGCAGTGTTTACCTTCCTCTCACCAATCAAAACAAGTCTTATGAAGAAAAAAAATCATATGCCATTTCATAATATCAACACAGTCTTTAAAAGTGTTTCAGGTGATACCATGTCTGTCAAGTTGAAGATTTGTTTAAGCATAAATAACCTAAGTATATAAGTCTGTTTGGGCTGTCATAACAAAACATAACGAATTTTCCAAGATTAAGGTGTCAGGTCAGTAGGTTTAGTTATTTTTTATGCCTATTTTGCTTTGTTTTGTTTGGTTCAGTTTGGTTTAGATTTTTATTTTGGCAATGTTTCTCTGTAGTCCCTGATGTTGTGAAAAACTCTGTAGACCAGTCTAATGGCCTTGAACTCACAGAGACCCACCTGCCTCTGCATCCCTAGTGCTGAGATAAAAGACATGTACCCCCACTGACTGGCTTCTTTGGCCTTTCTTAGGTTTGCATGTGATCTTCGCATTGTAAGCTCACATGGCCTTTCCTATCTGTGGAAATCCTGCATCTTCTCATTGTCTCATAAGGACACCAGTCCTGTCTCCTTAAAGTGTAGTGGGATATTCACTTTGTCTCCTTCTATGGCACTGACCATGCCCATTGTGGGTGGAGCCAGGAGTGGAAGTGACCTCTGGAACTAGGTCTGAAGCGGAGCCCGGGAACATTCTTTGCTGGCAGGATGTGGAGAGGAGAACATCTGGTGGAACTTGCTGGTGTTCATTTGTCTAGGTTGTAAGTTATTTCTCCCTGAATAAACATCTATTCGGCCTATTTGTTTATTCTGATCCTTATTAAACCACAATATCTGGTGTCGGAAGTGGGATCAGGATTTTCATAGCAGACGCCATGCCCTTCCCCCACTGTCCTTGAACAGGCAGTTTCTTTGCCTAACCAGGAGGACACACTGCAGCTTGTAAGACATTTGTGTCTGCACAACACCTCCTTTTATATCCACTGTGGCCCTGAGACCACTGCTGATTTCCTGCCCATTCCCTCAGATTGCATTCGCACAGAGCCCTGCAGCACCAGCGGTGCTCTTGTGTTGCTGCACAAGGCCCGGACTCTGGGCCTGCCCTGTTTGTGTGCTTGAGGCCAAGTGGCACCCTTTGCAGGAGGCACCTGTTAGCCCTGCGGTCCCAGCAATTTGTACAAGGCTCGTTTCACTCCTTCATTTAACAAAATTTCAGTTGCCTTAGTTTGTTAAGAGCTATTCTACAGGGAACTGGATCAGAAGGATCCTCTGCTGCTGGAAGCTATTTGGTGGTACACCTCCAAGTGTAACTACCACAAGTTGAGATCTACAACTAAAAGCATTAAAGTTCCATGACAGCAGAATTACACCTAAGTGAATTGTAACATCCTTCACAATTTAAGCTGATATAATATCTGAGATCAATTATTCCATACCTATGGCGGATAATTTTACAATGCAGGACTTTAGGAATTCTTTTACTTCATATATAGAATGAATTTTAGCAGAAGAAAATTATGACTGGACCAATATATACATTTTTTGTAATAGCAATGTGTTTCATCATTAACATGATATTCATAAAGAAATGTTTTGAGATTAGAGCAAACAATAAGGAACTTGTACAAATCATAGGAGAATTAGTAACAAGGACTCAAAACATTGAAAATGACATAACCCAAAACATAGAATGCTTAGAAAAAAGGTTCAGAATATTGAAGATGGCATTAGAGAGCTGACAGGTAGAATACAAAACATGGAACATAAAAATGACCAAGTAGAAAACAGGATTTGTTCCATGTCTGATGCCTCAATAATCAAAATAGAAACAATGCAATGCATTCATATGCTAGCAGAAACAGCTCCTTCCTGGTTGGAGGAAGCTACTAATAAGTTAAAAAAAAAACTGGAACAACAGATAGAAAGACTAGATGATAGAATCTCTTCCATGTCTGAGGATAATGGCAAGCTAGCAGATAGAACATTGTTTCTGGAAGGCAGTTTACATGCCATTCAGATAATATCTAAGGATGAGAATATTAAAAACATGAAATCATTTGTAGTTGGAGAAAGTAAGAAACTGACTGATGCAATGAAGTCTCTAGAAAGTTATTTGATTCAAGAAGTTCAGACACTCAAAGAAATTATGGTGAATAGATTTCATGCCTTAGAAGACTTTAATCTGATACATCAGAAGAAGAACTACAGGTAACAGGGCATGTAAAAGACTTAACATTGTCTACACCATTTAGGGTCAGGGGAGCTTTCCCTGTATCTATTAATGAAAAAGCAGCAACGGAAAAACACCCAAAAGGTGTCATTGCATATCAGTGGGAACCAATATGTATGAAAGATTTAAAAAGTAAAAAGGAAGCAGTAGTCTCTTATGGCATGCACTCACCATATATGAAGCAATTAATAGAATCATGGGCAAGGAATAACAAGGTAACCCCTAAGGATTGGGATCAATTACTATCAGCTGTCCTTGAAAATTCCTCTCAATTAGAATGGAGGGCTTTATGGAGAGAGGAATCAAAAGCTCTTGAACTTCAGGGCTTAAAGAAAGGTTATAAAGCTCCCCAAGATAAGGGACCTTGGTGAGGGTATTTATGCTGACCCAGAAACCCAAGCTGCCTATAATGAACATATCTTCTCTATGCAGTACATCAGCTCTGAATGCTTGGGATAAGGTTCATGAACTAGGAGAGAGAATCCTATACCAAGATAAGGCAAGGACCAAGAGAATGTTTTAGTGTGTTTCTAGAAAGATTGTCTAGAGCAGTACAATTAGAGGTAGCAGACATAGATTCTAGGTGAATACTCATAGAATCATTAGCTTATGAGAATGTGAAGCCTCAATGCAAACAAGTGCTTTGGCCTTTAAAAATTTGATCAGCACCCTTGGATTAATGGGTCCTATATACAGCCAATATTGACTATAATGACAATAACCCTGAAGCATGGGTAGGAGAAACCATATCTAAAGGTCTAAGAAGACATCAAGATAACAGAGGTCTTATTTATGGTGACATAAAAGCTTGGGTAGGAGAAGCCATCGCCAAAGTTTTGAAGAGATATCAACATGTCAATGTTATAACTATGGTAAATTAGGACATCTAAAAAGAAATTGTAGGCAAAGCTTCTCTAGAAATAACACTCCCAGCAATGAATGAACAGAAGGCCTCAGTCAGAAAGAAGATGGGACCCCAATTTGACATTTCCACTTGATGCAACCTGATGCATCTGAACTACAAACATCACCCTAAAACTGGTTTGAGACTGTTTTGCTGGAGACAACTCATGACTAGCTAGCTGTGATGGTACACCTTCTTATTACACCCTGGCCAGAGTTTCAAATAGAACTACAGTCAAGCATTTTCTGCCACACAGTGACTAGCTACATATGTCACAGCCAGTTCTGTTGAGACATTTGGTTGCTAAAATTTTTCTTCCTACAGGATACCATGGAGCAATCATCGTCCCATTTCAGCAGGAAGTAATCTTAAGATAACGACGCCCCCTTTCCCTACTCCTGGAATTTGGGGATAATATTCATCTTCTTTGGGTTGGTTTTAGTAACTTAGGGTTGTGTATGGAAGGTGATACTTAGACTTGGGTATCTCTTATAGACAGGAATAGGGTATGGTTGGGAAAGGTATGGTTCAGAATGGATATAGGTAGATTAGCCTATCTTCTTGT